GAGGTAGATGCTGCAAAAGTGTACTTTCACTATAATCCAGCGCATAGTCACCTTTCCTGCACCAACCTATTGTGGAGCATACGGTGGATATAGTCAAAATCAACGGTTGAATCATACTACTCCGTATATGTTGACGGTCTAATTCAAGACAGCAGGGGTTAGGCAAAACATGGCAAGTGAGATGTAACCGTGCAAAATGATGGATGACTTGCGAAGCGGCTAATAAGTGCAAAAATGCATGTTTGATACTTACCAAAACAAAGTGTTCTTCCAGTGTCAGCAGTTTCTTCATTTTTTCAATGAACTTGTCAATGAGTTCTGCCTGTTTCGGATCCGCCTTCTACAAAAGACCAGGGTAAGATAAAAACAAATAAAAAGAAAGCTTCGAAGAGAAAAGCGACGAACGAACGGACCTTACGTTCTGGTTGCAATGCGTTTAAGTTGCTGATGATGCTTGTCATGGCGCCTTCGATAGTTGTCACACCTAAAAACAGACGAACGGTAGTACTGTAAGATGATTTCAAGAAGAAGTGAAGGGAGGATTAACACATTTTAAGGCTAGACTAAATAAACTACCGAATGGTCGGAGGTCAAAATTTGCAGAACACATGATATTTGCGCGGGCTTAGTCAAATCATTCGATAATTTTTGGAACAGAGGAAATCACCGATGAAAGTCACCTGTCAGTATTCAGCATCACCAATGAGAACCTGGTGTCACTAAGTAATTTATTATACGCGCAAAGATTCGAGGTGCAGATGTAATGTTGCCTTCATCCTCTCCAGAAGAAAAAGAGGAAGAGAAAACAATTTCTGCGACCAAATTATATTCAAGCTAACGTTTCGACAACCTTCTCGTTCTTATCGTCAGAGCGTGGTACCTACTCTTTTGCCGGCCTCAAATGAATGCGAGAGAAGGTGGCAACGATCAGGAGTCACATAAACGGCGTGGCACACCTTCTCATTCCATGAGAACGATTGAAATGACCACCAGCGATCGATCGACGCACATGCATCAGGTACGGTTGTAACATGAGGCTGGCTATGAAATGCATTCATTCGAGGCCGGCGGAAGAGGAGGTACCACGCCCTGAAAATGAGGACAATAATGTTTCAGAAACCTCAGCTTAAATATAACTTGGTCGCGGAAATTGTTTCCTCTTATTTTTCTTCCGAGGAGGATGAGGACAATTTAATTTATTCTACATTAGTATGACACCCAGAATTGATCTTTATGTTCGCAAAGGTCAAACGCAGTGGTTGAAATTGTTTCAAAAATGAACGGATTCAGCCTGTCTGCCAACGGAATTGTTTGCAGGGAGCTTAGGCGCAACTTACGTTTAATATTGAAACGAATACATCTCAGGTAAGTTCATTCTGGAGTAAACTGATCGAAGAAATTTATAGCATCTTTTCACTAATTCAAATTTTAAGATTGCATAAACAGCAAAGAGTACTCATCAGCTGCTTCCTCTTGCTGCATAATGTGAGTAACGTATGAGAAAATACGAAATTGAATTCGTAGAGAAAAGGTCAGTAAGGTCATATAACCTGGTCAAGAAGACTAATCAATAACGTAAGCATGTTAAAACACTGTTGAAAGTAAAAGTGAATAAAAACGCTAAGGCGAAAAAGTGGACAGGGAAATGTGTAAATCAGGGGGCCGTATGGTACCAGGACAAAACTGGGTTAATCACAGGCCTCAACTGTTTACATAGGCCGGGTTTTGACCGTCGTATATAGGCTGCCTCCGGGTAGCGTTAAGTATGAGTTGTTCGAGCCCGAATAAGTACTTGGGAAGAGGTTTGGGGGTCTACAGAATGACGCACGTTACTCACTCTATGCAGCGAGAGGAAGCAGCTGACGAGCACTCTCGAAATTTATGGATCCAGTAAATGCTGCTGTTTATGCAATCTTCTAGTCGAAAAAAGCAAAATTGTAAAAGCCTGACGCAATTAAAAAAGAGTTTAGAATTGAAGCCTGAACAGAATCTATTGATAGACACGAATCGATATCGGAAAAGGAAGAGCAGGTAAGTTGAACGTTGAAAAATTATCGCGATTTTGTAGAAGCCCACCGGCTTTTGTCATAGCTAGTAATATAAACTTATCCTCGAGCCGCATCTACCTATAAGAGCAGTATTCAAGCCACCGCGAATGTAAAGCGTACTTTAGCCAATTAGCGTGATAACGTTTTTGAGTGGGGACAAAAATACGACAGAAATGCACAGGCCCACCGTGGAGGCCGTCTGGTGACCGCCACACACAGATTAGTCAAAACAATTTAGGTAGGAAGCATATTCAATAGCAAGGATTTTACAATTAGGTTAAATTGGGGGATCAGTCCTAATGGCACACTTAAATAAAATAAAATACACTACAGGTCTTACAGCCTTCACTGGTAGGGAAGGAGGATTCAAGTGAGGGAATGCGAATTTCGGAATGACTGGGCTGGACAATGCGCCGATTAAGGTCCCGACGGGAGCGTACATCGAGCACAAACAGTTTGCCCCTGTCTTGCACGGTGCCTGCGGGATCAATGGTCCGGTTTTCAAAGCCACAGTGAGGACAGGAAAAGGAGGCAATAATAACCTCCCGGAAGTTGGGAATTCGGGTAAGCAGAAGACGCGTGACGCCCTAGAAAAAAAGGAGAAGAAATGGATTAGGGAGGAAAAGTAAACAGAAGTGCCAGAGCATGGAGAAGCGTTTCAGAACGGTCTCTATTGCTGTTATTAGTAGTCCAATGTTGTCTCTTCCTTAGATTAAGCTCTTGTAAACCTGAATTCCCAGCATTCAGTCATGCTGTGTGATAGTATGTCACCGATAGTAGTTTGACCGATTGAAGCCTCTTACCATAAGGATCGAATTCGGTGAGCAGGACGAAAAGGGATTTGCGCGAAACCCCCTACAACGTCCTTCTAGGCCGCATTTTCGCACTGATTTGACTTAGCTATGCGGTAGTGGATTGTTCAACATGCACTGGTAGACCTCAACGACCACATTACGGATCCTGATCATGCTAATGACAGTGTGGTACTGGTAAACCCATAAGCAGAAATATAGTGTTCATTAGCTCGAACAACTATGAAGGCAGTAAAGTCGAACTTTGTGGTTCGGGAAATCTACCAAGTAACTATGGACAGTGAAAATCCTGGGATAGTATATGACTTCTGTTACCTTGGGTCGAAATATCTAACAAACCAGCGACTAGTAGAGCAATCAGACGCGCGGGCAGAATTAATCCGACGCTGACAGCGTTCAGTCACTTGAAAGACCATGCTGCGAGGTAACGAGGCTCCCGTCGAGACGATCCTTCCCGACGGATTTCAGACATGGTCCGTGAGTTCAGAGGACACCAGTTTCCTAGGTGAACTAGATAAGCTGTTCTTGTGATTTATTCTCCAATCGCATTGCAAACGAACGAATTTGCAGTCGGCTAAAGATACAAACTGTAAACTGCACCCCTCCCCCACCCTTACTCGCCAAATTGTATGGTTTTGCTGCGTGCTGAACCGACATGTGGGGGGGGGAGGGGTAGGAGGATGCACGTGGATGTTATTCCACAATAGCCTAATCCTGGCTGGCGACTGAATGGATGCAGCCATAAGAAGACACAGATGAACGAGGCGAGAGCTAACAATGAGCGTGTTTCTAACCCAACCGTTTTCAGTTCAGGCCTGACCGAGAGTTGTTCACCTACTGACTGCAGAAGGGATGCGATCATTAGTGATACGGACTACTACCAACATGGAATTCATAGAATTGGTTATGATTGCATATTACGGAGACGAATATATTTCATGGGAACATTGTCTTACTCGCGGTTTAAAATTTTAACGTTATTATGCAAAGCACCAAATACAGATGTGGATGTCAGGCTTGATTT